TGACAACACCTGCATATGGAATTATGGAGGAGATGCAGCTATACTTATTCTGGAAATAGGGAGCATATTTTTGCATACGTGAGTCTCAATATGATTTCCACTTACAGTTGCATGTGAAGATGCTTTAGCTACAGCAGTATGATCTAACTTGACTTGCTTTCTCAATGGATCTTCAGATATTGCTTTCTGCTAAGCAAATAAAAATCTCAAATATATCAAACCATTTACAATAAAAACAAGTTTGGACAGTGCACTGAAGTACAAACAAGATTACAATAAAAACAAGTTTCACAGATATTTCACGTAGACCCACTACATTTTCTCTAGTTATAATTGATTTTAGAATCTAGAAATAAGGTGTTATAGCTGAAATCGATAGTAGTTTCCAATGCAGGTGACATACACGGCATCATCAATTGCACATCATGTCATAACTATAATTTAAGCATAATACAGTATAAGATTCCATGATATGAAATCCAATGCAGTCAACTATAACATTAAGTTATGATTTACAAAGATAGTTGAAAGAAAACAAAGTTTGGGAGGATGTCACAAGAATATTCTATCTCAAATATATAAAATAATAAGGATATTATATAATTCTAATGAAAGTTATAGAATTGAGAGATGCATGTGTAACAGATTATTGTAACAGAAGTGATGGCGAGTAGCACATGTATAATCCCTGAATCTTTGCCTTTCTGATAGGCATTTTGTAGTTCCAAATTGTACTGAACTCACCTCATCTTGTTCAAGCACTCCCAAAGATCTCTTTTTAGATACGTCCATATTTGATGTGCCCTCTATGGTAGAAGGTTCCTGAGACACATAATAAATCATCTCATTTGTTTGATTAACAACCTCAAAATTTAAAGGATATTTAGAGGATATCTAGGAACACAATTCAAACAGAGCTGTGCCCCCTTCTATAAATAGAGAATAATATCTTTATCAACCAACCTTTTAAATACAAATACAATAACCTACTACCTATTTTCTTCATAATATAACCACAAAATAGGTTTGCATGTAAAATTGTAATCAATAAGGAACAAAACCCATTAAGTATAATGGAAAATGCACTGCAAAAAATGTAACATATTTAAAGGATTTTACATATAAGTTTGTCTTGTTAAAATGTCAAGTAAAAGAGGAATAACTCCCATCAATCACCAATGCACTGGTAATATGAATGCGAAATATATTTACATTATGAGAGCATATTTTGTTATCAATTCAATTCCCCCCTAATGAAATTAGCAAACATTATCAAACTCACAATTAAAAGAATATTAATTTTGAGAACAAGCATATATAGCTAATGGTAACCTTTTCCCATCCTATTGTGTTGACAGAAGATGCATTTGTTGAAAAGAATTAAAATTTAAATGCATTGCAACAGCTGTTTACCTGGAAAGGGCAAGGAACAAGCATGCCAAACAGATCGTCTTTCAAATCAGCAGCTCTAATTGTATATAAAGCATTCTTCAGTCCATGCGAGGCAAGATATTCCTCAGTTTCCTTTGACAAGGAATATCCCTTGTACACACTAACTGGAGGATTGCATACCTACCCAGTGACACAATCAAGCAGATATAATCACACATTGGAATGAAGAGCAACTATTGCTGCATAAAAAAAGTAACCAATTTGAATTTTGAATGCTAAAAAAGAAAAATCATAATCCCAAAGATCAGAAGCATTCTGGCAAATTTCAATTGATATCCCTGACTTTTTAACGAGTAATGACTATGGTGACCGTCCTAATTGTTTGAAAGATATTGTATCCTTGTTATCAAAGAAACACATTACCGATGTACTCATGAAAAGGGTTATGGCAGGCATTAAAATGGTAGGGGTAAAGTGTGAAATTTCTAGTGTGAGTGCAATTTGCCTGGAAACATAATAGCTGTCAATCAGACTACTCCACAGTTGGAATCAAACACTCCCCTCACTTTACAAATTTCCTACCTAAGAAATTTTCCAAACACTCACAAATACTTAATCATGCAAGAAATTGAATTGGACTACAGTGTCATCCAATCACATTTCATCGGGAAGAATAGAATTGTCGACTTTATAATAATCACTTTAAAGTTACATATAGGACGATTTCTAATACGACTGAATATGAATATATATATATATATATATGTGTGTGTGTGTGTGTGTGTGTGTGTGTGTGTGTGTGTGTGTGTGTGTGTGTGTGTGTGTGTGTGTGTGTGTGTGTGTGACGAGGTTCATAAGAGGAATTACAGAGGATCCAACTTGAGCCTGAGAATCAGTGAGACTATTATAGATTCCAACAACGTCCCCTTTCCGAACGACATAGAAAGCGTCCTTCTCCTTCTCCTTCTCCATGACCGGTGCTTTAGATTCGGCCTTGTGCAACCGAGAAGAACTAGAACCACTTTTGCGCCTTTTTTTAGTGGAAAAGCAGCGAGTGGTGAACTGGAATTCTGAACGGAAAGACCTAATTGCTCGAAACTCTGATATTGTCGGGAAAGAGCAGCGGTGCAGGGAACGATTGGCGATTAATCGGGCGGCGTTACCGACGACTGCGGCGGTGTACAATGATAGCTGCGAGAAGCAGTTCATGACAGAATCAGGTGGCGTTTGGGTGCTGATAAGGTGGAGGAAAATGCATGGTGGAATGGGTGATCAACTGTGCGTAACTTGCGAAGCAATGGTTATATGAATTGGAAGTTGGGACTTGAGAGTGAAAAAGAAGGACTACGAGGATGAGTGTCTGGTCTTGGATTTTGCTATTCAACATTAAACGGGTCGGGTTCGGTCTTCGAGCCCTCTATCACGGTTTACTGAGCCCACAATATTTTGAAATATAGTTTCCAAATAGTTTCTTTTACTATTTAAATAATTTATTTAAAATAATTTCTAAATTATTATGAGTTAAAATTAACTACTTTTGTGAATGTTAATGAGTTAAACATTTTCTAATATGCAGGACAAAAAATAAATTGACCTAATTGCGGTTCCATTCGCATAGTATAGTGTTTGAGTAATTTTGATACTTCAACATTTAATTAACTGCTATCCCTCATACTATATTTTTATTAATGAAACTAATGTTTAATGTTATACAGAAATGAAAGTTTCAGATCAACACACATAATTTTAATCCATTTATTCCATGATTTTATATTAAATTGGATATATAAAAATTTTGAGAAAGCGTAAACAATGTGGTGTCGTGGTGTAGTTGGTTATCACGTCAGTCTAACACACTGAAGGTCTCCGGTTCGAGTCCGGGCGACGCCATCTTTTCTTTCTTATTTTTTTTTTCTTATTTTTCAGGGTTTTTTTTTTCTTAATTATTATGTCTTGATTCATCTTAGTTTTTGTTAACCAGCCCATTATAGCTTTCCAATGTAGACTGAATCATCATGTTCAGCTTATTTTCTTTTCATGTGTATCATGGGCTTGTCATATACATATGGTATCATTTCTTTTATATTACTATAGTACCATTATACATGTTACTGCTTTTATTTTGGGTACCATTATATCTAAAATAATAATATTGGATCATTGAAAACGAAAATTAGGTTACTTCTTCATGATTGCTCAAAAATTTTCTATTTGGAATAATATTTTTTTTCTTATTACATTTTGACTAGTTGAATCTCTCTCCCTTCACGGGCTTACTAAGTTAATCTTAACATTCATTGGATATTTTGAATTATTTTTTTTTTTCAAATTTGTTCTTCAGCAAGTTTGTTGGCTTTCAAAGTAGCTATTACATCTACTTTTAGTTTATTAAACAATTGTTATATATTGAACCTATTTTTCTAATGCATTCAAGCAAACTTATTAAAAGATTTTAAAGACTTATATGTGTTCTTAGAAGGTTTGTCATGATTGAAATCAAAGGAGTTCAAATTCAATATGTTTAATCTTCAAGCCAAAACAAATTTTAAAGAAAATTATACACTTTAAAAGCTGTAGAAAGTCAATATATTTAAGCTTTAAGCCAACATTTACACTCACATGCTAATGATATTTGCGCTTAAATTAATTTGACAATTATTTGTATGAAAGATTAAAGCGTATTATCAACATAGAATAGATAGAGAAATTGAAGATAGGTATAATACCATACAAAATACTAAAATTAGAAGATTTGGAACGAAGATATGATTTCATTCATTCTAAAACTTGAAAACCTAACTCAACTTTTCTATTTTTACTCGATAAGTCACTTAGAAGAGGGATTGTGGTGCATGGTTTTCTGAGTTTTATTATTTACATTTTTGGTTTGTTTTAGCGGTTTTCGTTCGTAATTGACTTTGTTTTCGCTATTTTCAACTACAATCACGCATGTTGCTGGGTTCTCTTTTGTCATGCAAATCAGCAGTAACTTTGAAAGTACCGGGTTGTCCCAAAGAGCCCATTATAGCATTCCAAATGTGGACTGGATCACCATGTTCCACTCCCTTTCATGTGCATCATGGGCTTGTCATGTATATAGTCCTACACCAACCTAACCCCAAACAAGAAACAGTAGTAGTAGCACCCTCAACCTCAACCTTTTGTAGCTGGAACAACTAAAACCACCAACAATTGTTTCACTGATGCCAGCACAATCATTCCACACTCCCTCTAATCATCCTAGAAATCATGTGCACATTGATTTCAACATTTGTCTCAGTGCTGCCAATAGCCACCATCTATAGGCCTATAGCCTCTGATATGTCACATTAAAACTTGGCCCTTGCACATGCCATTTTCCAGTACAATTCATTCATTGGTTCTATAATAACATTTCAAGATCATAGTTTTGGCAAAATACTAGGATTGACTAATATTTCCCCCTCCAAATCATGGTTTCGAGCTCTTCAATTGAAAAACCAAACATTCTTAGCATCCTTTTCGAATCTAAACATCTCTCAACATAATGATACCAACTGATGGTTTTTTTACATGCAGAATAGAACACATGATGATATGTTTAAAGAACAAAATTATCTATCTTTCTGTCATGAAATCCCATGTATCACACCATCTTGGTAATGCATATGATATATCAAAACTCCATTCTTTTCCTCTTGTTTCATCAGTGTCTTTCTTTTCTTTTCTATTTCCATTTCCACAAGTGCATTAATTGGCACATGCCTACATTTTACCACTAGCTTAACCCCCGTAACTTTTTCATCGCCAAGCTCTGTCATGCTCCTCTGTCGGCTGGTGTAACACACAATTGCACACTCAAATTTTCGCTCCCTACCCAAGGTCCATCCATCCCTTCAATGTACCTTTTCTTGATTTGATATATCAAATTTATTCTTCACAGGCTTTTCTTTTATAAATGGATTATACATATTGAACTTGTCCTCTCAGCAGGAATCTTAACCAAAATAAATGAAAATTAATAAAGTGTTGGGGTTCTTAACCATTTCGCACATAGCAAGCAGTAAACAAAAACAGACATACATGGCACCATATACGCAAACCATGCTGGTTTGTGGGGGCATTGCTATTCATGTATAGAGAGGATAAATATTGAAGTTAGGTACAGTTTTCCATCAAAGTATAAACTATTTGATTTATTTTTCTAGCAGTTGAATGTGATTGTTACTAAATTTACAAGTCAAAGGGAGAAGTTAAGAATTGGTGAAGTGGTGAGCCCACTTTAAAACTTGATGAATTCCTTCCACATTTTCCTTCAAAAGCCCAACCTTGCTTGAATTTAAGGGTTGCTACCTTTGAATTTCTTATCTATGACTTCCTTATCCATCCAGGTTGTTACATTGTATATTAAAACACAGGCATTTAATTACTTGGAGAATGCATTATTGGAAAGTGCTTGAATTAAATTTAATGGGCTTAATGAGAAATTAAGGGAAAGTGTTCTCACCACGGACAAACCGATTTGTCCGGTTTTGTGGTTCTTTCCAAGCTTATTTTGTCATCTATCTTTCCATTTCCTTTCTCTTTTATACATTGAAATTTCAAGAGCATGGGGTCACTTCATTGATTTATGTACATTTAGTCATTAACTATGTGTCCACTGTGCCAATGCCACAAAAGAAAGAAAAGATTGACGGGGACATTGAAAAGATCAAAATTTAAACTTGTTATATATATTATAACATTTTTTTTAATATCTAAGCAACATGTATAATTTCTTTTTCAATTCTTCCTATCACATTATATTATCTTAAATGTTAGTTTTTTTAGAATTAAATCAGTCAGGGGAAGAAAAACATCTTTCTCAACTTCAATATTTTGAAAAACTGAATATTTTACCCTGAAAATAATATATAATCGTGAATTGCATCCTACTTATCTTACTCTTAACTATTGTTAAGAACAATGGTTTAACAAATTAAATTTTTGAGTCTTGCATAGGATAATTAATGTGAGATGTTGAATCAAATAAACGTGGGTCCTTTTACTTTTAGTAAGTTATTAATCTTATCTACCATGAAAAAAAAAAAAAAGTAAGCTATGAGCCTAGCCACTGTGAAGGATTTCTATGTACATATAAGAATGACAAAGTTAGAAGATTTTTGTTATAATTTCAACCATTTCAGGCGGCTGAAACATCAATCATGTAGGAGATAATGATGATGTGAATTTGACATTCACTACTCTATAGGTCTTGTTTAAATTATATATTTAGCCCCATTGCTTTATATTTCAAACATACTTAACCTTAGTAACATTATTCAAGTCCATTGAGAAGAATAAGGTACTAAAGAAGAGTGTGTCTTAATCTAGGACCACCGACCTTAGTTTAAAAGCAGATTATGGGTCCTCTATTTTACATAGATTTCTTCCGAGAGCCTCTAACTTAGATAGGAACTAATACCAGATTCCCATGGAGTAGTATCAGACACAAGTTTCTTCTACTTGTATTCATCAAGCATCAAAAAGTTTATGTGAGAAAGAAACAGATATAACAAGGCTTAAGAAGAAAGAGGAAAGAAAATGATGTACCCACTTTGCATTTTTAGGTAATCAATTATCATGATCGTGACATGGGCGCGCTCATCGTCAAGCTGTTCAAATTTTGTACACTATTTTTTATGACCGCAAATCCAATTATTTTTAAACAAATATTCTGAATTTATAATTTTCATTTTTTTTTAACAAACGCATAGTATATTGGAAAATCACATAACCTATATATGTAAAATAACTACTTTAAATAAAACTCTTGATTCCTCGTTTTATATATAAGGAAATAAAATAATCAAATCATTTTATAGTTTTTAATTAAAAAAAATCTCCATATTTATCTTATTGTATTGAAATTTTATTTCACATAAATTATGTTTAGAAAATATAAACTTATTTAAATATTTGATGAATAATATGGTGTATTGTGATACGGAAATTGTTGTAAAAATACAACATTCTTAGGTTTTAGAAATGATATTTTTATGTATAAAATTATTGTTTATATGATAGTTAATATAAATTATATGAATCACATTAATTATATATATGGTACAACTTACAGAGCATCCATGTGCTGGTTGAAAGTTAGGAGATATCCTCACATAACTCAACCCCCAAGAGTGGGCTGCACTATTTAGTCAAATTGTACTTTTTAAACATTTTTCAACTTCTCATTTATATTCGCATTTGTTTTTAAAAATAAAATGAAAAATTAGATAACAAAAACAAAAATATGACGTCAACTTGATGCAAAGAGATATAATTATTTCTTTCTTGTTAAAAATTTGAGTGGTATATACCTAATTTTATAAAACCGATAAAAATTATGTTATTTATTATAATATTACCGTATGATGTTAAAAAAAATTTATATCTTATTTTGTACGAGAGATTTTTTTTTTGTTGGTCACGATATATAGCTTCAAAGGGATTTCTTTCATTATAATCTATTTTTATTTTGATATAATATAAAATATTCCTTATCATAAAGAATTTAAATGCTATATTAATGATGAAGAATTACAAATTCTTATATGGATTCATAATTCAAATTATGACATCTGTTTTGGTTGTATTTGTTCCACTCTTGCTTTTAAAAATCTCAAAAGTGTTTTTCCCTCCTTTTCCTATCGTTCATTTTCTTCCTTTTTTTTATGATTAAGAAATCCTATTATTAGGTGTCTTGACTTTTATGATAAGAGATCGATGTTTCTGTGTTTTTTCTTATCTTCTCTAGTGACACGATCCTTATATATAATTATTTTATTATAAAATCTAGTAATTAATATGCACATTTGCCTTATGGAAAATTTCAGAATTATGACCATACATGTGTTAGAAAAAAAAACATTATTTAAAATGAAAATAAAAATATTTACTTTATTTTTTCCTAGTTTTTTAATAACTTTTATAGAGTTTTAAGCGTAATTATGCTCAATAAGCTCTGTAATGATTTAAATACATTTTTAAAGTATCTTTCAATTTTACAAAATATGTTAGTAAATATGTATATTAAAATAATAATCATTTTTGTTGATATTCTGAAAAGCAAAGAATAATGATAAATATAACATATTCAAGCAATTACATATTTAAGAATTATTCATAGCATTTTAATTTACAAAAATATATGAATGTAATGACCCTAAAAATCGTTATTATAATGAGTCTTCGTAAAGTAGTAAACAAGTAAATAACGACATCTATTTTACATTATATTACTGTAATTGTAACATAGATTGAAATTCCGATTCACTAACGGAACCTCAAAATATAGTAACATAATTTATTTATATATTATACATGTAAAAGTAGCTCCCTCGAAGTTATCCCACTAAACTATCTCTGTTGTCCAAGTAGTCACATCTCTATCTCTCAACTCTTGATCTGCTCCCACATAAAAATGATCATCGCAGTCCCATCCACATGGAAAAATAGGGGTAAGTATTAAATCATTCGATATAATAAAACAGATATAGAAGTAATAATTATATATTATGATCAATTATGAAATTATCAACACACTAAAACACCTTCCAGAAGTATACCCTAACTATGCCCAAACTCAGAGGCTATCATCTGTGGGCACATTGTGATCGGTACCCGCAGTACCATTCTGACCACCCTCCACACAGAGTAGGATTACTGGCGCCCTTCATCACTCATACTGGAGTACCCCTCCGAGCGCGTCACCAGTCATCCCCCATCGACTTCTCACCACCTGATCTCGTAATCTACCTGACCGGACCAATCAGTGAAGTCTGGGACCTCATTCAGAATCCTCTGACATAGTTATTACATTAATGTACTATGTACCACCCCGAGTACCATTCAAACATAACAAAATTTATTCACATTTGCCGGATTCTAGACCATCTGTCCTCACGGCTCATTCAGGTCAATAAAAATAGTATTTGACTGATTCTGGCACCAACCCTCAGGCTCAATCTAGCCAATATATAACGTCTCAGGACTGATTCTGGGCATCAGCCCTCAGGCTCGCTCGACCCACACACGTCACAACACACTACTTTCATTCTCTCTCTCTTTATATATATATATATATATATATATATATATATATATATATATATATATATATATATATATATATATTTTTAAAATCATTTCAGAAATCATTTCCGAAATCATTTCCAAAACTATTTCCAAAACTATTTTCGAAAACATTTTTGAAATCATTAAATTACTATTTTGCCCTTAATATTTTCTTAAAATTCCATGTATGTCCCTAAATGACTATTTTACCCTTGGTCATTTTTGAAAATTCCTTCCATGTCCCGAAAATGACTATTTTGCCCTTGGACATTTTCAAAAATTCCTTTCATGTCCCAAAAATGACTATTTTACCCTTGAACAATTTTATTATATAAATCATCCTTAATTTCAAGAATTTCAAAAACTTTCAAACGGTGAACAGTTCATTAAAATAAGAAACTCTTCAAAATCAGACATTCAAATAATTCATATCTCTACTCCTATTCCTTATTCACAGAGTACCCAACAATTCAATTTCATATATTGAATGAATTAAACTTCCCCTTACCTGGTATGGTATTTCTACCGAAGCTTTCCCACTTAATTCAAGTTCTCTCCCGTTTCACCAGATCCTGCACGAGTAGAGTCTCGTTGCTTGAAATTTAGACAATAGAAGAAAGAGAATGAGGAACATGTGATATGGGAGGAAGAATTTCCCGCAGAAACCATTCATCCCCCCTTCGAACATATAAAAGAAAAAAATTTTACTGTGCATGAGGAAAACTTCGTTACGAAGTTTTCTTGCACAGTAAAAAGCATACGTCACAATCTCCCCTCCACAAAAATTTTCGTCCTCGAAAATGAACTTACTTGGAAATAGATATGGATAGGACTCTCGCATCTCGATCCTCCATCTCCCAAGTGAAGTCTCCGGATTTATGATCTCATACTACCTTCACCTAGGCATGGCAACAGGCGGGCGGGGCGGGTTTTACCTCCCGATCCCCGCCCCGACTTTTTAATCATCCCGCCCCGATCCCGCAGGGTTAGAAATTAAGTCTTCATCCCCGTCCCCGCCCATTCCCGATCTATATTATTTTTAAAAAGATAATTACATTTATAATAAATTAATTTTACTATCTATTTTTTATATATAAATAAATATTTATAATTTTATAATTTATAATAATTATCAATTAAATATACATTTTAATTTATTATATTTATATTAAAATATGTATTTAAAAGAAATATTTAATCATTTTTTATTTATAACATTATTATTATTATTATTATTATAATACTATATTCAAATATTTGAATACTTATAACATTATCATTATTATTATTATACTGTATTCAAACATTTGATTATATATATATAAGTTAATTCATTTTTAAGTTGTAATTTAAAAATATGAAATATATAGTTTATAATGAAATATTTAATAAGTTAATTATTATTCAATTAATTCAAAGTAATAAAAGTTTAAATTATCAATTTCTTTAATCCTTTAAAATACAATTATTTTATTAAGATAAAATTTGATATATGATAAATAAGAATAATAAGATAAACAAATGACATAATAAAACCTAATAAATATAAATTATAAATAAAATAATATTAGTTACTATTAAGATTTATGTAAAATATTTAAAAAAAAGATAAAGAATAAAAAAATTAACTGTGTTCATCAAATTCATTGAAAAGATTGAAAAAAAAAACAAATTGATGAGAGAGATTAAGAAAATATGAAAAACTACAAGGTATAAAAGAGAATAATATAATAAATTAATTGATATAAAAGATTAAAAAAGATAAAAAAATTAAAAAATAGGTAGAAGAAAAATAAAAATTTGTAAAATATAAAAAAATGACCTTATATGTAATAGAAAAAGAAAAGAAAATACTTTAAAATATTAATATTTTAAAATTTAAATTTAAATATAAAGTCGGAGCGGGGACGGGCCGGGTCGGGGTGGGGATTGCATTACCCATCCCCGCCTCCGCCCCGACTTTTTAAAGCTGGGAAAACCCGAACCCGCCCCCGATCAACTCGGGTTTTCCCCGTCAAACTCGGGGCGGGGATGGGTCGGTCCCCACGGGGACGGGTTTAATTGTCATCCCTACCTTCACCAATTAGATGGTTCTACCTCTAAGTTGTTGCTGCTGAGAATCATCTATCCTCAATGGTCTCACATCTACGGAGAGATCGTCTCTAATCTGCACATCGTCTGACTCTAGGACATGACTGGGGTCATGTACATATTTCCTCAACTGAGATACATGAAATATATTGTGCAGATTCGCCAAATGAGTTGGCAACGCTAACTGATATGCCACTGGATCTACCTTCTTCAAAATCTTATATGGGCCAATAAACTTGGGAGTCAACTTCTTAGATTTAATTGCCCTTCCTACTCCAGTAGTAGGTCTGATTCTCAAAAATACATGGTCTCCCCCCTCAAATTCCAAAGGTCTCCTCCTCTGGTCCGCATATGATTTTTGTTTACTCATAGCGGCTCTCAGCTTCTCTTGTACCTCCCAGACCTTCTCTGTAGTCTGTTGGAGTAGCTCAGGTCCAATCAACACTTTCTCCTCATCCTGATACCAACATAAAGGTGTTTGACACCTCCTCCCATAAAGAGCCTCATATGGTGTCATTCCGATACTGGCATGATAGCTGTTATTATACGTGAACTCTATTAATGGAAGGATATCATCCCAACTTCCTAGATTATCCAACACACAAGACCTCAACAAGTCTTCTAGTGACTGGATGGTCCTCTTCGACTGTCCATCTGTCTGGGGGTGATAGGCTGAACTCAACCTAAATCAGGTACCTAATGCCTCTTGTAAAGTTTGCCAGAATCTTGAAGTAAATCTAGGATCCCTATCTAAGATAATGCTAGATGGTACCCCATGTAATCGAACAATCTCGCGAATATATAGTTGTGCCAACTTAGCCATAGATATCCTCAGATTTACAGGGAGGAAATGTGCACTCTTCGTCAATCTGTCCACTATCACCCAAATCGAATCGTGCCCCCGAATTATCCGTGGTAAATGGG